TGAAATCTACCATGTTTTATCATCGTGAAAGAGATAAAGTCAACTCACTGGCGCTACTCTATCATGATGTGTGTAGTGAAAAACAAGAGAGGAAAAACAAATGTTGGATGAAGCCTACGTTTAGTAAAATGTTTCACATTCGTATTTTCGTTGTATTTTCATTGGAATTCTGTCCATAAAATCTGGGATAATGCTCTGGTGTTTTATAGATGCTGTGTGCAATCAAAAGTGGTAATTATAACCCCATTTTTCTTCTTCATCTCTGCATGCGACCACTTTCTTCAGAATGTGAATGGTATCAAATACCACGCCAAGAACGGCCACCGCACACAGATTCGTGTGAGGAAACCCTTCAAGTGTCGCTGTGGCAAAAGCTACAAGACCTCGCAGGGCTTGAGGCACCACACCATCAACTTCCACCCGCCCGTCTCCACCGAGATCCTCCGCAAGATTCAAGGCTAAGAGCCTGCGCTCACACCAATCAACTTCCCCTAAAAAAAAAAAGTCCTGACTTTCCTTACCCATCCTATGTACACTAAAGGATCAAGTGCATGCTTTAAGTTTTTTTTTTTTTTTTTAAATCATCTTCTTTTTGTGTGTTACGTTAGTATTTTTTTTCTATCTATGTTATATCACTTGTATTTTTTTGGGAAACAAAAAAAAATATCTTTGTAGTATTTTTATTGATGTACATTTGCACATTCGTATATGCTATCACATTATTTTATTTTCTATCGTTCGACTTACATAAGGTGCTAACTGTAAAAAAAACAACAGAAAGAAAAGACAAAAAACAAAATGATACGAAAGTAAAGAGGAGAAAAGACGGAGACGTGAAACAGGAAGTGCAACCAAGCCCTGCCTTCCTCCTGCTCAGCTCTGAGTGCGATGAAGTTGGCCTCCAGTGCTGATGTAAGCTCAGCGGTTGTTACACTCCCTTTTGAGCTGCAGAGTCCAGCTGAGCTTAGATCTGTGCCTTCACGGTCATTTGTGGGGGTGAAAGCGCTGGAGTTAAGTTATACTTTTAATAGATATATTGATATATAAACAATAGACAGATATGTATGTGTACATAAAAATATATAAAAGTATTCATGAGCATATACATAGTTACACTTTATTTTCAAGCTTTATTTTATATATTTTTGTCAGTGTTTTAGATTTCGTGTTCATTTTTATGTATCAGTAAGTGTTCCTTTCATTCCTCATTTGCTGATTGAGCAATTCTGTCACCTCAGAGGTCAAAGGTCAAACAGCTGGCTGACTTTAGGTTCTGAGTTTTTGTTTCTTTGTTTTCCTTACATGTTCTACATATTAAGAGCTAATGCTCCTTTCAGTTTGACACCGATCTGTGTGTCGTTTGACCATTTTATCACGTGGAGAACGTATTAGAACACGGCCCGATCCGTATCCGCATTAAGCCATCGTTATCTCCAGCGTTTCTTCATTCACAGTGCCAGAGCTGCGTTCCACACGCTTAGCCACAAAAGTGGGTTAAGCGGCACACTGTATTCCAGTTGCCAAGATCTTTGTAGTTGTTTTGTTTTTTCCATGATCGTTGCCAACAGCTCTCCACTGCCAAACATTGACCATACCATGTGCCTGATGAGAGGATGAGGAGAGAGGGAGGGAGAGGGGGGGAGGGAAGGAAGGTGGATGGGAAGAGTGTTGTAATATTTCCACCCCGGAGGTCGCCCCAGACTTGTGGCAATGATTTTCTTGTACGTCGCACCTCCAAAAAGAAGAAAAAGAAAAAAGTCACGGGAATGAATGGATGTACACGAGAAGAATGTTTTTCACGCATGTTTCTGTGTCGTGTGGAGACGTGTGAAAGAAGAGGGTGGATTTTGTATTTGAAAGAGATTACCATCTACGTGTCGTTTTTGTGCGTGTGTTTTAGACAAAAGCATTCCAGTCCATTGTGTGTTCGCGAGAGTGTGAGAGGTGTGTGTTTTCAGCAGTATCCAAGTCATCAGCCTAGAGAGTATTACTGTAATCTGTGTCTCATTGCTCGGATGTGTCATGTTTCTGTGCCTGGCTGCTGGTTCAACTCCTATGGAGCAGGGTGGTTGGCTGGCTTGTTGCTCCTGACTGGGATTTCATCATTCCGAGTGAGAGCGCAGTGCTTCAACTCGCCAAGACACATTTGTTCATTATATCATCATTTCCCTCATTGTACAAAAAAGTTTAGATTCTGCTCAAGGCTTGCAGCATGAGCCCCCCGTTCATTTGATAGGTACAGTGATCTCCGACATGCACACACCGTCCTGTCCTCCAGTTTGGCTATAGGGATTTTTACTTACACAATGTTGTTAAAAGGCAGACTGCAGGATCGCCACATACCCTCAGCGAGTGTGCTACTACATAAGCACAAATCCATGCCTATTTTAAACCACCTGGAACCTGGATCTGTAAAATCTTGGCACCAGGTTACGAGGACATCTGTGGAGCTGCTAGCCTGAGATGATGATAGAAGACGCTTCAGTCCGGCCTTTGAGCGTAGGAGAGAAGGTTCTCTGCGGGGACAGACTGAAAGTTGAGCTGTCAAGCACTCGTAAAAAAAAAACCCATCCTCAGCTTCAGACTCGGGAGGGCCACTCGCACATATGGGAGAGGAGGAACGGAGGGTGTGTGCTGGAGGGGAGATGAGGGAGGAACTTCAATATACCGTGTACAGTGAATGTATCGTAACGTGCATCTGTTGTCAAGTGCTTTTAAATTATATTTTCGTATGTAACGTGGAGACTGATGTTTCCTTTTTTTGTACGGGGGTACAACAGGTTCTGAGAAGAGTGACTTGTAAATGATGTCAACCTGTCTTTCTATATAAAAGAGAAGCTGCTTAAATGTAAACAGGAAACGACTGAAAAAAAAAAAGCAAAATAAAGTAAAAAAAGCTCCACATCTCAGACTCGTGTTCATTACTTATTCAGCTCAGAAATGAAGAACAAAGCATCAAAATGCATTTAGACAAGCTGACTTTATTCATAAAGATCTTTGCAGCACCACTTAAACCATTCTCACATGAAAAGGCCTGCGTCGGACACGTGACATACATACACAGGTTTGTCTTGTGATGACTGGACATGTGCGTTTCTTTCCTTTTTATTTTTTTTTTAAAAAGCCTGATTACAACACGCATAATGACTGAAATAAACAAGCGGTGGTGACGAAGCCCCGTGAAGACGCACATAAACGACATTCAGTCATGAGGGCTAACAGACTGTGACTGTAAAACATGAAAGTATGTAACAAGTCTAACCCCGTGTCCGGCAGCCAGTTTAGCCAAAAACGAGGTTCATTATCTCCTAAGCCCAGCTTCGTACGGCCGACCTAAGATCAAGAAAGTGCACGCCAGGAAGTAAAACATCATTGGTCCTGTCTTCTTTTAAATATGAGGGAGGTAACGATAAGGGGAGGCGGGTTCACGACGTAATTCACAGGTATCGCCACAATTTATATTTCTTTTCATTTATGTACAGTACATTCAGAATAAAGCCTTATTTAGTGCAGATACATGAAAATGTAGTGCTGTTTTCTTTTGTGTTTAAACCATCTCATACGTACAATATTTCATCTCCACCACACAGTTCTTCACTTTTTATGTACACACACAGGCGACTCTTTTAAGATGTCACATATTCATATTCACTTTGCATTTATGCTCTTATCTCTCGCGTCTTGCGAAGCGTCATACTCTGAGGACAAATAAAGGACGACTCACTGCCTTGGATGATTTCTCACTTGGTGTATGCATGTTCGGAGAAGTTAAAAGAACAGGGACGTTTAGGATGCTTTCCCTCGGAGTCCCAGTTCAGCTTTGTGGCTGTGAATTGTTTTGGAACACAAAATATATATATTTGTGCATTTAATCCCTTGGAGGAGAAAGATGCTAGAAAAGCAAAGGATTGTGGCACTATTCCTGAATGTTAATGATTGTATGTTAACGTGAAAGCTGCTAAATAACTTGGGAGGACTAGCCGCCTAAGTACAAACTCTGCTTCCTTTCAGAAGTAGACTACATTCTCTTAAACGTTCCAAACAAAAAGGAAAAAAAAAAGAAAGAAAGAAAACCCAGAAAAATCACAACAAAAGTGCAAATGATTGTATGTTAACAAGATAAATCAACCAAACCCGAGTCAAAATCAACTAATAGCGACACATATTTACCCATACAGTATGCCGGAACCCCCTCCCCTTCATTCGATTTGCTCAAAGTTGAGGACGTGGCCGTCAAAGTGCGTGAGGACGTGCCGCTCGAAGAGCTGCTGCTGACAGTTGAGCGGGAACTGCTCGGAGCAGACGGGGCACACCTTCCAGTGGCTCTCGACGTGCTGCTCGAAGCTGCGCTGCTCAAAGTGCGGCGGGAAGATCACCTCGCACAGCGGGCAGCGCTTGTGAACGTCACTACTGCGGAAGGGGATGAGGGGAAAATGGATGGGGTCGGGGATTGGTGGAAGGGGCGATGGATAGACGAGAGAGACAAAAAATTGAAAAAGAAATGTGAGTTTCCGTGTGGATCATTGTAATGGAGTAGGCCTCTTTTGCTCCACAGACCAGATTATGACTAATAATGAAAGCCAGAGACGTGTGCCTCTTGAAAAGCAGCTGTTGAGTCACTTGCAATAAGCAACTGTGTTACCCCCCCTGCAGGGTAATTATTGGCTCTGTGCGCTACTCTTCCCGTAAGAGCAGAAACAGATAAATTAATTCTGTCTTCATGTGATCCTCGATGTTCATAAGGAAGAAATCTCTGACTGTGTCATTTAGCAGGTTATGTCATATATACCAGGGTTCAAAATGAAGAGGTCTTACTTGGAGCAGTTTAAGTTGTGGAGAGAAAATGAATCAATGGCTACTTTGATACAAATCGTTTTTTTTCCAAGGCAAAAACTCCCAACAAAGCAGCTGTCTATGCTGATGCTCTTGTGCGTTATTTTGTTACCTTCTTTATGTGTCGTGTCTTCTAGGACACCTTGTGTTGAAAATGAATGTCATACCTGGAGTCAAAGCAGAAGCTGCTCCTGGTTTCACTGCGTCTGTTGGGCTGATGATCACAGGACTGTTGAGCCCCATCTCCCACCTTTGTCACACACACACACACAAAGAAAAAGAAAATTTCCAATATTTGCTCACAGATCTGAATGCTTTAATGAACACCACCTCTAAAGACAATTACAGGAAGAAAGGAGTGCGACTAAAGTAAATGAAGCGTGTGTTAGTAAACTATGTGTACCTACGTTTCTATTACGTGACAGTAAACAAGGATGCCCCATTATCCGACAGTCTCTAACTCATCTTCTGCCTGTTCTTATGCAAAACCTCCTCTAATTACTCTCCCCCAGCTCTGGTTATCTTTATCTCTCTTGAGCTCTGAAGGAGTGACATTAATTAGAGCTTTATGCAAATGAGTTCAAAGCACCGTCTTTTAAGGCCAAGCTGCATTTCCCTTCGTTTAGCGTGGGAGAAATCCTCCAGAGATTAAGAAAGGTGAAGTAAACGCGGGATTATCGTGGCAACAACAAAAAGCCGGTGTAGGAGAGCAACGGCTGGGATCGTGTCACAGTGATTTAAAATATCCCTCCAAAGTTATGTAGAGAGGTCAATTAATGCTGCCAATCATGGTTTTGTATTTATTCAGAAACACAATGCATTATTTATATATAACAACACTACATACACTAAATATAAAATTTCAGCCAACAATGGGTTTTTCAGTTTTGAGCTAGATACACCACTACTCACATTTTGTGGCTCCTCTGGTGGATGCTCGAGGGTCTCGGGGGGACTTGTGCTGCGGGACGGTTGGATGCAGACCACCTCTCGATCCCAGCCTGGTGCTCCCGGACCCGGGCTAGACGGTGAGATCGGAGGTGCGCAGGGAGGGGTGCAGGATGGAGCCTCAGGTGGGGGACGGGACACGTGCTCAGGGGAAAGTGCAACATCCTCCCGATCTAAAAAGATTAACACATTAAAGCAGCAGGGGAGCAGCAGGGACACAGAGTGCGAGTAAATCATTTCAGTTTCTGACCCGACCTCTTGTGGTGTCGGTGGAGTAAGGATTGCCGTACTGGAGCTCAGCGGGCCTCTGCGGCACCAGCGGCGGAGGGGAGGGATGCTGGGGGTAGGGCAGAGGGTAGCGCAGCACCATTGGCTGCCGGACCTCAGCACCCTGAACAGCAACCTCCTGCTCCCTCTGCCTGGACATGTAACGCTGCAACTGCTACAGAAGAGATGCCACAGAGCTTTACACTTCACGGCCACACCTCATTTAAAAAGTCCTGGATATCCTCCTGATGCTATAAGCGCAGAACCACAGTCAGTCTCAGTTTTATAAGTCATCAGTTAACATTTCAGCAGAACCTTTCTCACAGTTGGTGAGTGCTTTCATCTTAAGAGTTAAGTTTCCCATCTACATTGTTTCTGCCCTTTGTGATTATATCTGAAGCAAGCGCATTAGTACCCTACTCATTACTGTAATGGGTGTCAGACTCTGGCTCCCTCTGCTCTGGCTTTGCTGATAGAAGCACTCACCCTCTCCCTTTTTTTGTAACTCCTTCCTTACTCTCCCTATTCCTCCCTGATCTCCTCTCTTCATGACTTCATTAGTGCGCTGCTATCAGGTTTAACATTTAAACCAGGGTTGGGAAGGTGAAACAGACACGTTGTGTGGCATTTGCACCATCTAATGGCACTGTACCAGTGGGCGAAAGAAGCAAGTATAGATGTATTAATTAGAGGAGAGTGGGGAGTGTTGAGTAAGGAAGAAAAAGCTATGGAAATGGTTCATACACCTCCTATAATTGAAAGCAATGATACTGGTCTGGGCTTCAGCTCAGTCTACATTGTCTAAGTATGTGAATTTGATTGTAAGTAAGAGCTATGTTGAGGCTAAAGTTTTATAACCTTAAGTTGAGGTCATTGTTGAAATATGCACAGTTTTACCTGCAATAAATAGATTCATTTATGCACAACTTGTGCCTGCTTAGAAATCAGAGTATGCAAAAGTTTCTACAGTGCTCGGGCACTATGTGTGGAGAGAGTGCATTAACATTTTCACTGTTTTTAGACCGATTTCCATGGTGACAGTTGATTTTTCTCCTCTTTTGTCACAAATTTAAAACAAAAAGCATTTTTTTAGTTTAGTGACACAAAGGATACAAATACAAAAACAATATCTAACCATAAAGTTGTCTAGCCCATTAACATAACATACATAACATAACATAACATAACATAACATAACATAACATAACATAACATAACATAACATAACA